GGAAAATACATTCGAATCACATTATAGACTGCAGTAATGAGTCCAAACATCTGCATCTATTTGCTCACGGTTGAGAGTAAAGCTTTATTGTGATATCTCTATAATTTTATATGTAGTCCTCGTGATAGTGCTCCCCTCGAAATTTTCATGGAAATCATTTCCGTTCTTTTGTCAAAATAGTGATATTTATTGGAACAAGCGCTCGAAAGGACGGGAGATGCTCTCTTGTTGTTTTTCTCGCAGATTTTGTCAGGAAATTGCTTCCGGTACTTAAATACTAAGGCTGCAGTCACATGGAGCGCAATAGAGCATGCAGGATAAAATTTTCCCCATAAGCAGCTGTGTTAATTCTATTGCACTGCAGGATAGCCCTATTGCGCGGCGCAACAGACTTAACACAGTCGCTAATGGGGACAATTCTATAATGCTCGCGCTATTGCGCTCCATGTGACTGCAGCCTAAGAGTGTAACAACAACAGCTAAATTAATTACATCCACGTGATTTCTGATTACCTTATAGTTCAATTCATACATTTTATAATTAAAAAAAAAAAAATACATTGGTTTATGAAGATAAAGGTTTTTTTCCTGTGCACGGTGTTATGTTTTGCTCTTTGATGCGGAAAAATTATTCTTACGAGCACTGACACTTGTTTTTAGGATCGCGTAACTCACTATACCTTTCTTCCTCACTTTATTCAGCTCATCTTTTTCCTTCAATTTACTTTCATTGTGAACCCATTTCTGTTGAACGTGTGTTTGCCCGTACATCCGCACGCACACGCAATCCACTGTTTCTTATATTATGTAGACGTATTCATTTACTTTTTTTTTTTTTATGAAAAAAGTTTATGGAAAAATGTCCTTAAAATTCAAACAATTGCATATACGCTTCTACAACTTTTCATCAATTACTCCAGGTGACGTTACGTATTAGTACATTATTTTCAAGCCTAAACAACATTGCTTTGCGCTCATTCAATACGTACCTAATTATCTATAAATACTTTACAATAAGATAGTCATCAAGTGTCTTTCATAAACTTTAATTAAATAGAAAAGTTGGTGCACAGTTACTTCATGGGCACGAATCGCGTGTAAAGAGCAGTCCTAAGAAGTTTCAAAGTTCTTACTGTCAAATGGTACATTACGTCACTGGGGCACAAACTAAAAACATGAGCACCTGATGAAGGGTGCGGTTATTGTATGTTAGTGCCCGAGTCGCGTTTATTATCTTAACCCACTTGGGGCGTTTTTGAAGGGCTATAGTGTGGCCTCGGTATAAAAAAACAGTGTTTGGCACCCAAGTGCCATCCATCTGAGAGTATCTTACGCCGCAAAATAGCCCCGGAGGCGATGGCGCTTCTGTGTCGAAAACTATTATTCTTACCGAGGGCGCAAAGCGCAATTTTGCGCCGGTAGGCACATCTCTGCCCGTGGGCCCAAAGTGATTGATTGAAGTTGCACTTGTGCCTATTGTGCCTATGGTAAGTATAATAATTTTACAATGCCTGTTATTTCGTTATAATTTCATGAACAAATACAAACAGAGTCGATTTGGTAAATCATACCTATACATAAATTGATCGGCATGTGACTGAAGCATTTTTGTCATGTGATTGGTTAAGTTGGCTTGGGCATTCAGTGCCGTACCAAGCGAGGGGCTCTTTAAGATTCTGTGGATTATGAAAAATATCATTTGTTTATTGTCATGATTATTGAATATCTAAGTAAAAGGGTAAAAAATTATAAAATATCGATAAAAACAATAACAAGAACTCATCATTTTAATCGGCGCATACATAGAAGACGATGAATCACTTTTTTCTGAATTTTTTAAAAATACAATTGGGTACATGTAATTTTTACAATTGTAAAAGATTTATTATGAATTATTTGTAGAGGTTTGTCATTTACTTTTAGAGTTACAGTCGTTTTAGATATAATCCCCATACTTATCAAGAATGGCTTTTAACAAAGATTTACTAGATTTACGAGAATATTTTAATAAGTGCATGCAAAGGTACATTGAACATGTTCATCCCTTTTTTTACCAAAGTAATCTCACGAATTACTCGCGGAAAATTCCACTTCTTGTAAGTGTAGCAGTTGTTCCATGAAGATCAACGAGCATCGAAGAGTCCTGAGAGTACAGTTTTTCGCCTCGAGAGACGCGAGCACTTAGCTACTTAAATAGCCGAGCAGAAAAGAATTAAAGGGCATCGTCGACAAGAGTAAACGCTCCATCAGCGGCAATTAGAGCCAGAAAGCATCATTGTCTTTTTCCTCGTGTTTGGGGTCTTTGTTTGGAAAAAAAAAAAAAAAAACGATGGTTTCCGAGTTATCGCCTCGAGGAGATGTACCCACTCGAATCACTACAGCCAGTGACTTGTTTTATTTCTTCATCTTCCGTACACGCCAGGTGTACACAAGCGCAAACAACTTTTTTCCGCTCCGCCAAGTCGGAGATGAGCATAAAATCAAGCACGCGAATCATCACGCGTACAATGAAAGTGCTCATCGACATCGATAATACTCGTGTAGGAATTCAATACGCAAGAGCAAGTAGAAATTATCGAAACACGAGGTAGTGACGGAACAGATTATACGCGGATCGTTAAACCCGAGAAAGACTACGTATACGAACAGGCTCTCGCAAGTTACTTTTTTTCCGTCTCGATTTGCTCGCTCGTAAAACGAGAAGCTGCGGTGATGAGCTTTTAACGACGTTCGCTTGGCTGTAATTGTTGCCAGTCGGGGGGAGTTTGAGCAGTGAAGAAAGATGCGCCGTACCGTGCAAGGGAGAGATTGCTCGCAACGCGTGAATCGACGGACGCGCACTTATATGATTGCTTTAATTTTGCTTCGGGTCTTTTTGTTCCCCCGTAAGTGTTTATCATGGGCGTGACGAGGTAAAGAGAGCGCGTTGGGTCGCAACGATGCTGGACGAAGAAGAAGATCGCCGCTGCTTGGAAAGCAACGCCTCTTGCGTATCTGCTCGAATGTATTAAATTTAAGGTTACACGGGGTTAGTTGCTATTCTCAAATAGCCAATTTTTTTGGCACTCGATACGCTCTCGTTGGGTCAGCTTTTCATTCATTTCTAACAAGTAGAACGTGCGTTGTTGCTGTTCTTTGTATGAATCCATGTCAAAACCGCAATTTCCAACAAGATTTTCTTTTATTGCTTTTGAACACGTTATAACTCGCTGGACCAAGTTGCAAAATTTCATTTGTTTCTGATGACGATAATTTCGTTGAACGAAACTGTTATATGAGTGCATAAATACTTTCAGCCACGTTATTTTCAATTTCAATATATTTTTGCATGCCAAGGAACCAATTTAAAGGTTGAAAAAAGGTTTTACGAAAGCTTGAAAATCGTCACGAATCTAAATGATGGTATACTCACGTGACCAGGCACTCGTTCGCTCTTGTAGATTAATTGTGTTTATTGCAAGAAACCATATTTACGATGCGCAAAGTAACATATCCTGTACGTCTGAAAAAATTGTTACGAAAAAGCGACTTCGGCCCGAGACCATCGGAACCAGTCCGATGCACTTCCGTTGAAAAAATCCCTCCTTGTGCGGCACACCACGTTTAAGATCCATCTGCTCCCAAAGCATATCGCAAGAAGAACCCTTACGAGCCCATCAGCGTGCATTAAGCTCGAGTGCCCTCGGGTAGGGCCCAACGCAGCGTGACGCTGCACCCAGGGAAAAACACCAGCACGGCAGACATTGCCAATTATTTAGCCTTGTTGTTTGGAGGGAAAGGAAAACATGGTTGGACTGCACAGGAAGGAGACTTCCCTTCCGTTGTTTTTTCTTGCTCTTTGGAGGCGTAGGTACCGCAGATTGGTGTTTGACTAGCATATACGGAGGACGTGTTCGGCTGTTCGACTAATTGGGACGGGGAAGGATGGGCTGCGATCGGGGCATCCCGTTTGGACGCCCAGGATGTACATCAAGAGGGCTGATTGTTCCGCAAGCGTGCGCAACGAGAAATAAACGTTACGATGGAGAAAGTCGTGTTCTCGTGAAACCAACGAATGATTCGCTTCGTCAGGTGCTTCGAAAAATGTATGTGTGTTTTTTTTTTTTTTTTTCCACGAGCTTTGAGCTTTCTCATGCGTCACGATTTTTGTTTCGAATATTTAGACACGGGGTAATCTTTCAACTTTTGTTCCTGTTTTTCTATGCTCATTGGTACATCACAAGCAGCTCCACATTGCAGCGATGAATCTCTATTACTTGCAAATTTTTGTGCGGATACAGTGGACATATCAGTTTCTATCGCAAGGTGTTCTCTCTCTCTCTCTCTCTCTCTCTCTGTCTTTCCGTAAACTTTGTTAATTGATTGGTGAAAGACTATGCAGGAAAAGTAAATAAAAACATTAAGTTTATAGTAAATTAAAAAGTTTTTATTTCTAATAAATATATTTGNCAAAGTTATTCGGCAAGAGAGGACAACGATGCGGACATTATCAGACAAGCAAAGTCTGCTCTGATATCGAAGGGCGACTACATTGACTACGACGATATATTTGCCAGACTTGTGATAGAAAAGCCTGACGAATTTAAAGGTATGTTGTTACAACAGGCTTTTTTTAACAAAAATTTTATACTTCAAAGTGCTGATGATTGCTAAAATGTGTATTATGATACTATACGAAGAGAAAATTTACCCATAAGTAAATGATGAAACAAAAAAGCAAAAAAAAAAGTAATAAAATACTAATTACTACTCAGTAAACTGTCCAAAACGGGTAAAGTATACAGATTTTATATTAATTAGATAAGTAATAATTTAGATCGTATTACAAGTATTTGTCTTGATTATGAATGCTTCTGTTTACTCCAATAATGTCACAAAATCAAGGGTAAAAATGATGAAACAAAATAAAATAAACGAAAGTCCCACCTGATGAAAAAAGAAAACGTAAAACTAACATAGAAAACTTACATAAAAACGTTTTTTTCTGCTTCGTGTTCCAGGATTCTCACGGTTTGGAAGACGCAAACGCGGCTCCGGAGACCGACATATCGCAGGACTACCACTTGATCCACGCCACTCAAAATGACACCCACACCATCGTCACTTTTACCCGCCGCTGGGAGACCTGTGATCCTCACGACCGCAACCTCAATGTAAGTATATCTTTATCTTTCATTGCTTAACAGAAGCTCTTTTTAAAGTATATTTTGTTATATAGGCTTGTGGGCATTCTTCCAGTGCCGTAGCGCTCACTCTGAGTCTAATAGCATTAGGCATACAATCATCATTAACTAAGCGAAAAATCATGTAAATCCTAATATTTTATCGAGTAAGGACTTTTAAAAAAACGCCACAGGAGTGCTCGTATCTGAAAAACGATAGCCTCTATATTTTGTTTCCTTTACCCTGCCACTTGTTCTCCAGTACAGAGTTTCTAAAATTTTTTTTTGACTCAATAAAGGATGCCGTAGCTTTACCAAAATTGCAAACTTTGCGCACCATTTTTTAGAACAAAATTTGTTTCTTAAGCGTCCATTGTTGGATCCAAAATCTAATCAACTTTCTTCTTGTCTAAAGGAATATTATAATAACTAAGAAAAAGGTATAAAAAAACAATTTAAATTCACAAAAGCACCGCTGTTTCTCCCATTATCTTCAATAATGGGCATTCGAACATTGAGATATGAGCTTGCTTTCCAGGAATAAATCCTTTGCATCAGAAGGCCCAACAAATTTCGCGCCTCTTCTCCAATTTCTCGCATCCAAGACCACAAACTTATCTTGCAGGTCTTGAAAATATTTTTTAGAAATAAGCTCACAAGTGCCACGGACACAAAAGCATGTGCATTATAGAAGCCCCCGACCGCGCCATCCAATATTACTAATTGAGTGTGCAGTGCACGTATAGCTGCGGTATGCTTCTTCAAGTATATGCCGACTATTATTTTTTTATTTCCTTCATTCATTTGATTCTTTTGGCTGAATTTTTTAAGTATGCGGATAAATTGACTGTTGTCACTTTTGCGGTTTTCTTTTTTAAATTTTGTCCTTTACACCATTGAATTCTATTACATATTTTAATGATTTTGTGAATGATTTATACACCACAAGTCGCTTAGAAAAATATCAATGACAGACAATCCACGTAGTCCTATCAATATTCATGTCACGTTGAAGTCGATAGCTATAAAAACGTCATCCCACATAAACTTTAATTATACCAAGCTATTCCGAAATGAAGCAAAATCTTTCAACGATGAGCCTTGAGCCACCGAAAATTGTTTCAATTTCATCTAAAATTTTTTCTTACGTATGTTCTCGTAGGGTGACACGATTCGCGTACTGTGGGCTATGCATCATATGGATCCTGAACTCAACGCTGCGAGATTTCATGGAGAAAAACGGGGAGCACGTGCCCTAAGACTGAAAGCACCATCTACCCATCCACCTCCAGCCGTAAGTGACCCGGACCTAATAAAGTGGGATGTGAAACTCAATCAGGTAAGTTTTTTATTCAATCATTTTTCAGTGCCATGATATTTTTGAATACATCTTAAGCTTGACGTTGATTTCTTTCTTCTAGTTTATCGTGTCCAACACCACAGACACCGTGTACTGGTGCAAAATTTTTAAGGCTCCCAAGCTACACCGCAAACACCACATGATCGGGGTGAGTTCATCATTATTCTGCGTAACGTCTTATGTTTTCGTGAACGGACGAAGAATCAATCTCCTTTGTACCATCGATTCCACTGGCGATACACGTTTTGCGAAATAGCTCCGACGTGTAAGCGGAAGTCTTTGTCCCTCTATTTTACTTGTTTACGAGCTGGTAAAAAATTTTTTTCCCACAAGCGATGTCATTCATTCGGCTGACTCGTAAACACCGAACGCTCCAAACGGAATTCAAATGTGGTTTTTTCGGTATACGAGACTAGACTAAATTTGAATTTATTACGGCTTCGTGTTTTCGTGGATTAAGTAAGAACTTGATTTTCGAGGCTACGCGTAATTTACACTTTCCAGTCTCGTTTGTTGACTTTCAATGATAATCGAATGATTTTTCAGTACACTCCTCTGATCGAGAAAATGAACGAGCCAGTGGTGCACCACATAATCTTGTACGAGTGTACTTCGACTCAACCAATCCTCGCAGAGCACGCTCGACTTGCCGGTGCCCACTGCTACAGTCCCACAATGCCCAAAGAGTGGGACACGTGCCTGCAGCCCGTCCTTTCGTGGGCTAGAGGTAGTCGAGGCGAGTGGCTGCCGAACCATGTTGGCTTACCCATCGCTGAGCGTCTAGAGAATTCGTACTACATGCTTGAAGTGCATTACAATAACCGAAACGCCAGGCAGGTGATCGACAGCAGTGGAGTGAGGCTGCACCTGACGCCAAACATCAGAAAGATGGAGGCTGGAATTTTGATTGCTGGGGTGGCCATTAGTCCGTTCCACATGGTCCCACCTGAACAGAAAGAGTATGCTACCGCAGGTTATTGCACCTCGGATTGCACGGAAAAAGTAAATACCATAGTTGGTTAAAAAGAAATCATACATGTTCTTGTTAATCCGATCTCTAGAGGAATACTAATTTCCTGTTTTTTGCAGATGTTTGACAGAAATGGCATAAATGTCGTCTCTGTGGTGCTACATTCGCACCTCGCTGGTAGGCGTCTAAGTCTCAAGCACATCCGCCAGGGGAAGGAACTGCCCCCTATAGTCCAGGACAATCAATTTGATTTTGACTACCAGCAGGCGCATACGTTGGATCGAGAAGTACAGGTACTTCCGGGTGACGAACTTGTTGCAGAATGCGTTTACGACACCCGAGGCCGTCCTAAAGCAACTTTCGGTGGCTACGCTGCGTCTCAAGAGATGTGCTTGGCTTTTATTGTCCACTATCCCAGAACACCTTTGGCCGCCTGTTACAGCATGACGCCGGTCAAGGAGTTTTTCGAGGCTCTCAATGTACAAGGTTTCAAAGGTGTTACGATGGAAAACGTTGAAAAGCTGTTTTTGTCAACGACGTAAGTACTATTCACTGTTAGCTAACTCTTTTTTTCTTTAACTAATAGAAATTGCAGCAATATAAAATTGTGGTCTGTGTTGTATTTATAGGACAGAAGCCGTAAAAGTACCTTTACCACCAACTCTTTACACCCAAAGTTATTCGGCAAGAGAGGACAACGATGCGGACATTATCAGACAAGCAAAGTCTGCTCTGATATCGAAGGGCGACTACATTGACTACGACGATATATTTGCCAGACTTGTGATAGAAAAGCCTGACGAATTTAAAGGTATGTTGTTACATTCAATCGTGTATTTATTCGAAAAAACAGAGGGTCATGATGTTGTGAAATTTTGTTAGTCAGTTAAAAAGTTTTGGCGAGACTCATAAAGTAACAATATATGAACGGCAAGTGAATAATATATACGAATACAAGGGTGTTCGGGAAAAAACCTTTATCCAATTTTTAATTAAAACCCCCATGTTTTCATAAGTATGACTGTAGACTAATTTTTTTGGAGGTCTACCTGTTAATATCACCCCACATGTTAAATTCGTAAATATATTATTCTTACGCAAAACTTGTTGCAACTAACAATTAAAATCAGTCAACATTCATCCCTAAAATTGTTGTTGCATCTTAAAAAACTGTTCATGCTTAGATATACTGAAATAAAGATGTTTTTTCTTTCAACAGATCATACGTTGTCAGACCATATTGCTGCACTTGCATGGAATGACACTTCTCTATCCAAATCCATTGAGATGAGTCTGTATCACGGAAAGCACTCAACTTTTTGTAGGTCAAGAGAAGATAAAGTCCCACAGGTAACTTTCGAAGTTACTATGGTTCAGTTAAATAAAAATTTAAGTAATCCATTTTCACTATTTAAAAAAGTAACGGAAAAAATTGTGTATTTACAGAGTGCCGAGATTAAAACGTTTCCCAACTTTACATCTTTACCGATGAGTAATGATACGCACTGCAATCACATCAGCAGAATGTATCGTTCTTCCACCTCGAGCATTGTGTCGTCACTACTCTCTGTATTTCTAACGTTACTGATGGCTCTACGCTGAAATAATAGTGCTACCACCAGACTACCCGTCAACTGCTGAGCCTCTACTGCGTACTTGTATAAATCAGCGCCAATCTATTTATTACAAGCAAAAGATGCAAGTAGCTATGTCATCGTTATTGTCTATATAAGTTATATTTTTAATGTGAAGTGTACAGATGGACCGCTCAATAAACGAGTAGAGTAAGAAAAAGTGAGCATTTGAATCACGTGACACTGATGACTCTGAGAGGCAGTGAAGTTTTTTTAAAAGACTGTTTCGCATAGTGGACAGAGTGTTTATGTCCTTTCGTAGATTCGAAAGGGAACTTTGGTTTTGTAAATATTTTAGTACTTAGTTTCAATAATAAGCGAACTCAGCGAACTCTTATTTAAGATAATTTTTAAGAGTATTATAAAACTTGTAGATATAGTATTTTCGTAAAACCAACTTATATGTGTAAAAAAAAATCGATGTTAGATTTTATTAGGTTCAAAAACGTAAAGCTTTGACACTTATTTTTAAAAGTTCTTGGATGACCAATAGTCATAGACCTGTTTGAAGTTTTTGAAACTTGTTTTCATAACACCTAAGAAAAAAAATTTATATATTAATACATAAAAACCAAAACTTAATATTTAAAGTACAAAAATAACTAGACTTAGTGCTACACAATCAGGAAAAACGAATTTCTTCGTTCCAAAATTATAAATCTTCGAGCAGGGTTACGGTTCATCTAGAATTTTAATTTGACTTTGGTTCCGATGTAGTTTGAACAAGGAAAAACTGTAGCTAACAATTTCATGTTAACGTATTTTTTAACTTTTTACTGAAATTTTCAAAAAACGTTCAATTTTAAAATCGCTAAAATTTTATTAGGAATCTGAAACAACATTAATAAAACTGTTTTTTTTTTTGTATTTCATTAAACTGGCTATTTTACATTTGTTCAATCGAAGTGTGTACTTGTAGTAAGTGACCCAAGATACCCTTTTATGATGGTTTCTTTAGGAATTAAAAAAAAAAAAATCATTTTGTAAAGCAATATGTATGATTGTACATAAACAATCTCAATGGTTTTTTTCTATGCACTGCCTACTCAGCATCAAAGCGGAAAGCGTGTCAAATTCATACAATAATTTTGTTTGAAGATCCATAATTCTAAATCCAAAAATCCCGTTGATGCCCAGTGTGTGCCACTAATTTTTAGTTGTTTGAATTGGCAATTTAAACTCAAGATCTTATTTTGTAGAAAGTTATCTCTGTAAAAATAAGAAAAGTTTGTACATTTTAATTTAAAGCTCTATAAGATTATTTTAAGGTCAGAATCATATAAGAAAGTTCGTGTATAAATAAAAACAACTCTTAAATTAAGTTTGATGTTATTTTATTGAACTGACGTAACATTCCTTGCTTTACTTTGATTAAAAAAGTTTTTGTTAGAATTAATTATTCAAAAAGTTTTTTTTTATCAAAAATCAAAAACAAAGTCAGAAGAAGGTGAAAAGAGAAAAAATTTTGCTGAATGATCTTGATTCAGAGATAGAGTTTGAAACGGACGACAAGGATAAAAAGTGTCTTAATGACTAGACTATTGAAAAACGCATCTCTGAGATGTATTCTAATGAGTAGAAATGCATGCAGTATTAACAAAAATTCAAAATGCCAATCTCTCTAGTATATCTCTAAGAAACTCTATATGTGAGATATTGAAAATACAACGATACTTCATTTAAAAAACTTTGTGTAAAAACAACCAACAACTGATAAGTTAATAAAAAATTAGTTAAACTTGAATTGAATAAGATCTTTAAAACATAGTACTCTAAGTTTAGATTAATCAACGAAATAAAATTTTTTCATCGTGTACAATTTTTAATTTTACATAATGAGAAGGATGGTGAGTAAATTTTTTATTCTTTGTTAATAACGAGCTTTTAGAAAAAATGTATAGTATATGAGCTACACGACTGTAAGCAATAGTAGTATATTTATCATAACGACTACGAGGACGAAGATGACGATGAGGAGGGGGAGGAGTACTTTTATTGAAAAAGAAATCATGCATTGATCATTTACTTTATAAACAGCGAGACTTCGATCAATACACGTTGAAAACGTAGCCTTGCAATATTATTCAGGTACGTTATTTGACAGGACGCGCACTAAGGCAGGGTTAACTCAGGGTGTAGTAGGTATATAAGCTCACTTCATGGATGGGAAAACGAGACTTGTGCCTTTAAAGATGCTTTAGTTGGTGCAAGCATGCACCATTTTCGCTGAATGTGATAGTTAGGTACACGGCGAACATTCTTGCCGTCGGCGTTGATACCCAAATTGCCCCCGTCACAGCCTCGTAAAGAGACAGCTCAGTTTAATCAGTCGGCAAATGGTGCGGAAGCAATGGCTCCAGTCCTTTGCATGGGGGAGCCATATCTATATTTGCAGGTGAGCCACATGTGCTATCACCATTGGAATGTCTTGAACAATGTAGGCTGGTGCAGCTTGCGCAGACTTCAACCTTGAATTCTACACGGGAACTTCCTATGGATCAGAAAAATCTGCTCAGGCACCTCCTGTGATTCGGGAACCATGAGCTCTACTCCTTCTGGGGCGATGAGCTCGGGCATGTTATCTTCAGGAATGATGGGCAGATCATCCCCAGAACTTGCCGGGAGTGAAGAGTAATGGTCACAACGATACCTGCTGATCGCCGTGGTTTCAGACGTTTGCTAAAGGCCTAAATAATTATTGTAATGAGCATTCATAATAGCGTATTTATCTAACTGACTCTCCCTGTGAGATGCAGGGCAATGAATAAAACGTTGTTATCTCATATTATTTATTAGTCTTTAACACTGTCACGAGTTGACACTCACTTACATTTGTCTTGACATCAATTATCCCAAGAAAAACAAAATAGTATCGTAGCGTATCATGTAGCACGCATGTAATCACCGTCTTATTGAGCTACTCATCAAGCCTGTAACATCATATATATATATATATATATATATGTGGCAACGCAAATTAAGGGTATAATATATACGCGAATAAGGTATAGCGCATGGTGCTTCGTGCTTCGCACCTTACCTTGACTAGCATGCGATTGCGTACATCATCCGTCGAAGATGATGTCCAAGGCTAAACTTCGACGCCACTCGGTGGTGTCGTCAAACTTGTCTCGACTATGCTTCTCGGAAGCATGTTACGGTTTCGCCGCTCGTGGTGACAAAGGACCTCGTCCGCTAGCTATGTTAACGAACCACTCGGTGGTGTTTCTACGATTCAATCTGTGCGGTTATATGCCGCTATCACTCGACGCTAAGAGACTATGTTGAAGACAGCTATTCTCGGGCACCATTCAAACGTTTACCCTGACTGCGACTTCGACGTCAATATGATCGCGTAGCTCAGTGTACGGCACTCTCTCACACGCACATATAACTATTTAAACTCAAAATGATGAGAAGAGCCCCTAAGCTGGTACTTTGAAGAACTAATCAAGCCTAAATTCAATACAATTTGTTGCGAATTGAGAAAAAAAAGTTACATTTCAGATTGTGCACACTGACCCACTCATTTATGATCACGAAATGTAACTTTTTTCTCTCAATTCGCAACAAATTGTATTGAATTTAGGCTTGATTGTTTCTTCAAAGTAGCAGCTTAGGGGCTCTTCTCATCATTTTGAGTTTAAATAGTTATATATAATTAGTTATAAACAATAATTTCTTATTATATAAAAGTCGGTAAAGTAGAAATTTTAGATGATATACGGAATGCCCTTAATGTGATGCATTTGATGTGAAATCTAGGGCATTTCTCAACCTCTGAACGTGGTGCGTATACGATTTTACGTCTCCTGGTGCTCGGTAAGTAAAAAATCCTGCCGGTTATTTTCACTTACGGAGCACCTGTGACGTAAAATAATTTAAAAAGATTGCAGCCCATAACAAGCTATGTAATCGTGTTATCCAGCATCTTATCCTTCTTGCCGTGCAGGTGGTGCTCTTTTAGATTACTGCACATCCACATAGAGAATGAGCCCAGAGCAACCATAAGCCCATGTGAGTGTGAGTGAGAAGCAAGAACATGTCATACTCTCTTTGTCACACTTACAGGGGCAAACGGGCCAGAAATGAGTAGATCTACTCATCTCTGAACAGGGTGGCTCTAGAAGTTTAAGACCCCATGTGAGCGCACCCTAGGAATCATGCATTTCTCTTGCACTAATGTAAAGTACTAAATGATTTAATAGTTTACTTAATTTTGCTTATAAATGTGAATACTTTTACGATTTAAAAATTGATTACAATGTTATATTGACGTACCAAATATATCCACTAATAACAAACTTTTGTTCCTTTGATTCCTACAGACTCGTTAACACTTTAAAGGTATCTTTATATAGTAGTGGTTAGGTAAAAAGACGTATAACAATTTTTTTCAAATTAAATTAAATAAACATAACATAAAAAAACCAATGAACAACATTTTAAGGTAGTAGTTCAGTTAGGTATATCGTGTGGCATACTGCACTATAGAGTATGCATAGGTTATGCAGTCTTTACTATGAGGTCCCTACGATGTACGATCAGCAAACTCAGCATAGATGGCGTGCTGTAGCTAAGAGAAAAATGGCGTCACTGACACACTACGGCTATAAGCGACGACGGTATACGGTAATGTGAAGTTACTTATGTGACAACATATCCGTCACGCTGACGTCAGGAGATCATGCTGAGTTTGCAGACCGTAGAGACCTCATATAGCTGTTATTGTCCCTCTCACGCAACTACATGATAGTTTTTAACTTTGGAAAGCTGAAATACAAACACTGGACGGCTAGGCTTCTTAAGACTTGGTATTTAGTTTATTTATAATATCAATTATAATATATTTTTTTAACAAGATTGATCGTTTCGTTTAGGAGTTATGAATGATTTCGTTTAGAATCCTACCCCAAACCAGGCGCTCTCCTATCTCTCACGTGTTAATCGAGTAACAGTAAAAATTTAATATCTCTGAAACTACACGGCTAGTCATCTCCAAATTTGGACTCATGATGAACTCCAGCAAACTTAAGCCACATGCAAAATTTTAGAAAAATTTATCGTCTAGTCGTTTTACTTAACTACTACCTTAATAAATGTATGAGTAATTTTACAAATAAAAATACATAAAAATGTATTGATTGTATTTTTTACATCAATACTTTTTAAATTGAATTCAAGCAATAA